CCTTCTGGGCCAGGGCTCTGGGGCATTTTGCAACCCCGATGATTTTTTGCCAGGAAGCCTCCATTCCAGCCTTCTACAAAATTGCAGCCGCCACTTTGACCTGCTCCTATTCCTGATCTAAAAATGGAAGTGCTCAGGCTCACTGAATTTGATTCAGATGGAGCTGATCGGTTTAAAGGCAGGTACCGAATTACACGTTTGTTGGGCTTTGAGGGCAGCCTGGTGAAAGATCTGTCATTTCTATGAGCAAAGGTGGTTGAATACTCTTCAAATACCTCACTGTTCTTTTTTTTTTTTCATCCATATAATGAAATCAAAATTGTAAATTTGGGTGAGCCCATGCTGTTGTCTAAAATGAACAGAAATGTTCCAGACTTGCCCATAAAATGAACTGGAGCTTTGTGTCATGATTTGAGAAAAGAAGACAGTAAAATTAGCCTCTGTTGCCTTCTCTGATCACCTTTAATGCAATTGCCCAGGTGGATGCCAGGAGAAAGAGAAAGGAGGCAAAGGTTTGGAGAGGAGCGAGGAGCTTCAGAGAGGTTCCCAGCCCCTCTGGAGGATTGAAATGTAGTGCTGTGTCCCCTGTGTCCCACCACCACCACCACAGTCTGCATGTGCCCCAGGACACAGGACCAGGAGCTGAGACTCCCTGCACTGAAAATGCTGTGCCCGCAAGTACATCCTCTCCATCTCAGAGCACCATCCGGCAGGACCACTTCCCCCCGGTGTTTGATGCATACCACGCTGTTCACAGCGTTCTAAACTCTGTTAGAATATATGCATCTATGTATCTTGGGTCGGGAGTTATGCGTAATTTGTCAAAGCAAACTATAACTGGTTTCTTACATAACTCTACAGTTGGCAGCAAGGGACCATGTATTGAAATTAAGCAACATTCACTCATCCAAGAAGACTTTGCTTTTCCTTTTTTGGAAAGATAAATGCTCTGCTTTGTTTTTTCCTGTTGCATATATTCTTTTTAATTATTGGCTGACTTGAATGGTTCTTTGAAGTTAATTTTTGAATGTGAATGGTAGGGCTCCACTTAACTTTTGGAAGCTTAAGAGCTGTCCCTGTGTGCCCCTAAACTAGAATAACGCCAATCACTTGAGTGCCTTCAGGTGATAATGAAATCGGAGACAGTGGGAAGTACCTCGGACTCAATCACCGTAGGGATCTTAACTGGTTAAGTGCTTAGAATTTTCTGGAGTTGCAATGCCCTGGAAGCACTGGAGTCAGTCTTATATCACAGTGTACCTCTTCAGACCAGGCATCTTACCTGCATCTTACCTTTCAATTGTAGTCCACCTTCTTTCCATTTCTTCTTCCTTTCCTGTTTTTTTTTAAAACGTTTGGTCTGTGAGTCTCTAAGCAGGACCTCTTAATGTTGTTTCTTTTCTCAGTTTCTAAGGCCAGATTCTCTAAAGTATCTTTGTGTCTTTGCCTGAATTCAGTATCCCTTAGAAAATGATCAAAGTGTGCATATTCCCAGTTCTCAAATTACAGTAATAAAGTTTTCAAATGAAACTCCTAGGAATGAAACTTTAGGATCTTTTCTCACCATCCCACTGTGGAATTGGGACATTTATCCAATAAATTTCAATTGGAGAGAAAAAAAAAACCCTACATTTCAAAATGAATCCCACTTTTTTTTCTTTAAAAACAAGAGTTTATTGACCAAGACAGATTTCAAAATGTTTTCTCTACTGCCCCAATATTGAAACTTTGATTGAGGTTTTCAGGAAATTACAAGGATCAAGCAACTCACCAAGACTTTGGTTTCCAGGTCTCCCAAAGCCTTAAACTTCCCTGGAGGCTAATTGCTGTTTACTGCCCCAGACCTTCGTCCTGTTTCTTCTGTGACATTTTCCATCTTAAGAAGGGCTGTCCCATTCAGCCGGGGAGCGTGTTGTCTGAGTGGCTGAATGGAATTACTACCAGTGGAAACTATGCTGCAAGAGGGTTGATAAAGCAGCTGGGAAGCAAACCTCAGCTGTTTTTTCCATTCTCCCCAAGCAGAGTTAATTAGCATAGGGAAAATGACTAAGGTGTTGACGTCACCTCTTTCCAGTAGAAACTTACACTTTGTCCCTGTCTGCCTGCAAGCATGCAGGACTTGACTCAGGAATTTGCTGTCCAAACAGGATGCTCTGGAAGCTGCAGCTTTTTTTTTTTTTCCCCCCAGGGGGCTGGCCCTTGGTGCTTTATAAGTGCTGGCTCAAGAAAGAACTTACAGCCTCTTGGAAAGGAATCTCACTTGGGACTTGACTGCGTGGGTCTCTAGTGCTTTTGCTGTAAGAAAGCAAGATGCATTTTAGAAACTTTAACTACAGTTTTAGCTCCCTGATTGCCTGTGTGGCAAACAGTGATATCTTCAGCGAAAGTGAAACCAGGGTAAGGCTTCTAATATAACGTGATTTTTGAGAGCTTTCAAAGCATTATGCTAATGAGGACAACTATTAACTGAAATACTTGGGGGTATGTGGCTCTCTAGTGGGTTTGGGGGTTTTGAAATCAATCCAAAGTATTTTGAGCCTTGAAAATTAAAAGCTGTGGCCTGAGGAATTCACTGTGAAGAACTTTTTAAAGATCTCAACATTCGAAAACATCCAGGTTCCTGGACCAACTAACTAGTAAGACAGCGTTTTGCATTGTGTGTTTTTCACTCTGTGTATGTTGTAAGTAAGCTCTTCAGAGGGAGGTCTCTTCTGACAGTGAATAAAACATTTTACTTTTACAGGGAGAGTTGAGAATACTTTGAGTTCATCTTAGGAAATAAATATTGTATAGATATTTATATGTTTGAAGGAATTATAAGGGCCTGTCCTTAAATTTTCAGATTTCTCTGGCTAGAGAAAATGCAGCCATAGCAAATAATAAAACTGGATAAATTAAATGTGGGATCAATGTGCCTCCTGGGCACCAGCTGTCATTGATAGTGATTAATATAATTAGTAATTTTAATCACTATACTTTTCTCCTTCGTTTGATTACAATGTAAGATTTTTCATCTGTAGCTACCCAGCTATCTCATTGATCTTTAATATTATCGTATACGAATGAATCCTGTGTGTTCTGTTTGGGGGGTAGTGTTTGTGTCAGCTGCTTTATACCCAAAGCCATACTGGGACATGTGAAGGTTTCTTTTTTTTTTTTTTAAATCAAATTTAACTCCATATTGTGTATGATGCTTGTGGGCTGGGACCGGAGTTTTTGATTGCAGAACACGTTCTCTATTTTTAAAATACTACAATGTCAGTATATTTAAAAGTAGCCTTACATGAGTAAAATCATTATTTTTTAATTACATACAGATGCTATCTAACAACTACAATAACTAGATATCAGTTATTAGGACAAGTGAGAGTATTTTGTAAGAGAATGGCGTAATATTAATCTAGATTTAAAAGATAATGTGAGTTCTCTTTTGCTTTGATCCTGAGCCCTGACCTGTAATTCTAAAAATATTCGTCAAAGTCATCTCTCCCAAATTCTGAATCATAACTTCAAAACTACACATTTGGTCACAGTGCCTATTGATGAGCTCATGTGAAATTCCAAATTTGCACAGCCAACATTGTGCCAGAAACTTGCCCGTGCTGGAGAGAAGCAGGGAAAAAAGCCAGAGGTGGCCAGATGAAACAGTGCTGCCAGGCCTCTGCGGAGCCCCTCCTGGGAAAGTCACAGAAATTTGCATAAACTGAAGACAAGCCAAGGAGTGCAAGGAGAGCAGGGCTGTGAGTTGTTGCAACTCCTCCTTGACGACCTGCCTGGTGGAGACAGGCTGGCTCATTCCTACCCACAGCCCGCGTGGGGCAGGCATCATTGCCCAAGTCTTCCTGAGCTTTGTAGCAGTCAGCGTTCCAGAAGACGGTCTCCAAATCCTCATTCCCGCTGTAGAAACACTGCGCTTTCCACGGGTTTTCCGAAGTACTCAGTGGGCTCTGCCTGCTCTTCTGTGCAGAGGGCCAGCTGCTCAGGTCCCAGGCCCTGGGTGTCACCCCTTCTTCTCGGCCAGCCCATCTGCTTCTCACATGGGGTCCCGCCCCTGTCGTAAAAGTTTTGTCTGAGAAAAAGACTCAGAAAACAGGGCAGATAGAAGAAGCCCATGCAGTCTTCCTTGACGCTTCATCCAGCCAGCTCCCTCTCTGGGAGGAATCCTGAGAATTGCGCTGGCCTCATGTTCCGGCCACCTACCCCAGGACCCAGCCAGGGGCTGCTCAGAGCCTTTCCCAGGAGGCTGATGAGCTGTTTCCTGAACCTGAACTTGTAATCCCCCAGCTCAGGCTTTTCATTCTAAGAATGCCTGACATTTCCTTGTTTTCACTACCCCTTGTAGCACTAGAGCGAGGCGTGCACCTATATTAAAGTCAGCACGCAGAGAAGGATCCATTTGCAATACATTAATTTTTAAAACACTATCATTTTAGAGAGTTAAAAAATAACAGGCTGAGATAAAAACAATTGTGGGAATTCTTAAAAACTTCTTTTAAGCAATGCAAGACTTTTTATTAATTTCATTATTTTCAATTCCATAAAGTTTTGTTGTTTTTTTTTTCCAAACTAGCTGCAATGCTTTTAAGCCCTAAAGAAACATTTGGTGGACACAGCGTCACCCTGAGCCAAGTGGCGGGATCGGAGTTGGCTCGCTGGGAAAGGTCATAGGACATAAGAATTGTACCTCTTTGGAAAATGCCCATTCTACTTTAAAAAGAATATTTCTGTTACCATAAGAAGTGTTTAAGAATTGCTGATTGTTTTGTGATTAAATGAATTTAGTAAATCATCCTTTCTTACCTTCTGGTAAAATCACCTGTACAAGGAATAAAAGGACATCATCCCCTAGGAGGGGAACAGCTTTTCCCTAAGGAAGAAGTTAGGAATCCTTGGAATGATTAACAATTCACTTCCTCAATAAGAAATGTAATGACGTCATGTAGTTAAGGGACATAGGCAGGTAAATTTTAACCTCTTCTACTTTTATTTTTATTTTTCAGGCCAAATTCGAGGCCCTGTTTAGGACATATGACAAGGACATCACCTTTCAGTATTTTAAGAGCTTCAAAAGAGTCAGAATAAACTTCAGCAACCCCTTATCTGCCGCAGATGCCCGACTCCGGCTGCACAAGACTGAGTTTCTGGGAAAGGAAATGAAGTTATATTTCGCTCAGGTGGGTCATGTGCATTGCCGTGCACGCTTCTCCCTTCTGCCTCCCACCCTGTTTTAAAGCGGCTTATACCTAACGTTATACATTGATCGGAAACGCCAAGAATTCATCTTGAGAAAGGCAAAATTCATCCTCTGAATTTTCTGTGTCTCAGCTATTTTAGGAAGACACCAAAGTGTATTTGAAAGCAGTCTCAGAAATAGCCCCTGACGCTCTGGACTTGATAACGGTGGGATCAGAAATGCTTTCCCTGTTCATTCAGGGAGCTTGTAGGGTGCAGCAGTGTGGGCTTCTCAAGCCCCCTAAGATTTGTGCAGCAGGTGTCCATGAATTGGCTCTGGGGTTGGGGCTAAAACCCACTCCAGACTGAGCAGACTAGAGCGGTTCCCGCTCACATAGGTTCCCAGGGCGTTCGGTAGAGAATTAGGAGTCTGCAAATGTCCATGCAGATCAGCATGAGGCTGCCAGGCCTGGCTTGAAAGGAAAATATGGGATAGTCAGACTGGTAGCAGGTGCTAAGAAACCCTCCTGTTAGCAGAGGCCCTGGCCCCAGAGGCCCATGGTGGGAGGAGAGAGCCGCGAGTGGGTGTGCTTCTTCACCTACCCACCACCCTTCCGACCCTCCTCCAGGGACATTAGGACAGGTGACCCACCTTCCAGGCAGCTCCCAAAGTTCCATTTGATGTCCTAACAGAGGCTGACAGATTGTCAGAGGAGGGAAAAGGAGCTTCTAGAATGCTGCTCCCTAGGGAAAGCAAGTCCCCATCAGGCTCTGAGTCCCCTCCCCTTGCCGGCGTAGGACGGACCCTGTCCAGGGGCTTCCTGACAGTGGGAGAAAGCTCATCTGACTCCATGGCAGGCGCCCAGAATGCATCTTCTTCCTCAAAGTGAGCAAGGCAAACTTGCTGGGCCCTTCAAGTGTAAATTGAAAGATGGGGTGCCCCCCACCATCCTGCCTTGGGAGGCATGGGGCTAGGCTTTGACCTTGGGTCCCTGAGCTTCGTCCAGGAGTACACTCCTTTCTGCACTGGACAAGGTTTTATGGAAATAATTAGTTAGTACTTCCATGGCCATGCATATTCATTACGAAAATTTGAGGGGAATGGAGTATCACAGTGCAAAGAAAACCTAAACTGATAAGCTTTTGATGCAAAATCTTTCTGGACAGTCCTCTAATCACTGGTGAAATGTTTAAGATCAAACTAGGATCATAGTTTATTGTTCCTTATTATCATTTCTTTAAATCTCCTGGAAGGTGGGGTTTTTTTTCCTCCCTCACATTTGGCATCTCACGGGGAGCCCCTGAGGGCAGGAAATGCAGGTCTCCTGCTGGGTGGGGGAGCCTGGGAGCCTGGCGGGTGGGGTCCTGGTTCCTTGACCCAGAAGAGCTGCACTGCTGCAGTGTCTCAGAGCTGCTGCCTTTGGACCTTCAGCATCTGCCTTTGTGGTGTGAGGAGCTGGGGAAAAACTGATTCCAAGATCCCTTCTGACCTCGAGAACAGTGGCTTTATTTTTTCCATGTATACTAAAATCATCTCTGATGATTTTCTGACAGTCTGGGTCAAGCCTAATTACTTGCAGTCCCACAGCCCTGGGAGGGACAGCATCATGTTTGCTCCATAACCAGAGTTCAGACACCTGTCTGCCTTCCCCTTACAGACCATGTTCCTAGTCGTCCTGAACCACACCTGTTCTGGTGCCTGGACGTTGATCCACCTATGCCCCGTCAGCTGCCATTGGATGCTGTTGTCTTGCCGCAGTTCTTCCTTCCCAGCCAGTGACCTATATTTGTCTCTGTCCTCAGACATTACACATAGGAAGCTCACACCTGGCTCCGCCAAATCCAGACAAGCAGTTTCTGATCTCTCCTCCCGCCTCTCCACCGGTTGGTTGGAAACAAGTGGAAGATGCTACTCCAGTCATAAACTATGATCTTTTATATGCTATCTCCAAGCTGGGGCCAGGTAAGCAGTGCCCTCAGGTGGAGAGGAAGGTGGGGAGAGATAGGGGTGCTCACCTGCGTAGGGGAGCAACATCCCCCGGGCCCCTTTTAGCTCTCCTGTGAGCCCGTGCAGTTGTGTTTTGTGAACTCTCTCCTTGCATTCTTCTGTGTCCCTGTCACTCGTGCTGACAGCATGCCTGCCTGCCTCTCAGGACTGCCTGCAGCATCACAGACTGGAGCTGGTCACCGGCCCCTGTTCTGTGGCCCCAGCAGGGTCACCCAGCAGGGTGTCACAGGAAGCTCGCCCCACACCCACGGAGCACAGCCTGCATGGGTGGCTGGAGCCCGGCCCCAGTCCTGTCGCTCCCAGCGAGGATGAGCGATTGGACTTGGAAAAGGCAAACAGAACCCCCCTTTGGAAATTTCATTTTTAGTAAAAGTAATTTCGCCTTTTTAATGGCGAAGGAGAACCAGAGATCACAGGGAGGAAGGAGCCCCAGTCGTGCGTACCCTACCTTGTGGCCCCATAGGGGTGCTCCCCTGCGGAGCCGGCCCAAAAAAAAGGAGGTTCCTGTCCTCTGAAGGGACACAGGTGCCTCGAGCCCCTTGTCCATCACAGGGGCCTCACCCCGTGGAACTGTGAGCAGTGGATCATCCTGGAGCAAAAGCACTTCACACAGCACCTGTCCACAGTCAGCACTCAACATGTGCTTTTTGAAAACCATAAAATGGCGGTTCCTGTCCTGTCTGCTGGACAGGAGGAGGCAGGAGGGAGGGAGGCTCCTGGGGTGAAGAGGTGTGAGCCCCTCCTGCCCTGTCGATGGGGTGAGTCACATAAACGCTGAGCCCGTCAGGGCCTGGGCTCTCCGTAGCCAGCAATCCGATGTCCCTTTGGGCTGAAGGTTTTATTTTCTGGGACCATCAGCAGTTTCACACTGAAAAGATTACATTTCTGCAAACATTGCCCAAACGGAAATTCACTGTGTGATATAAAGTGAGGCTCGCCTTACCTACTGCTAATCGTGGCGTGAAGGTCAAGATGGAAAAAGACCAGTTGGAGGAAGCCTGTGGCCCCCACAGCAGCTCTGGGCCAGGGGCACAAGCAAAGCCGAAGGGGGAGGTTACAGGGATAGGAAATGGGATCTCCACCTAGGGAGGGGTGTCCGGCTCTTCCAGAGGCAAGAGGTGCTGTTAATAAAAAATTTTCACACTCCAGAATCTACCACTCCCTTTCCAGAAGGCTTGTTGGAGAAGCCTTTTTAGAAAATAGACATAAAATTAGTTTGCCCCGGTTCGCTTAACAATGAACTTGAGCGATATTTCATATTTCGGCTGTGCTTTTCAGACAACAGGATTGCAAAGACTTTTGCAAAAATCTCCTAAACCCTGAGCTTTCTAGATTTGGGTTGATTGGTAGGTAGATAAGGGTTTGTAAAGAGGCTGTTAACCACTGGTGTGCAATGATCTGGTCTGGCCTGTCTTGTCTGACGTCCCTGTGTGAGAGAGCAGAGGCACCTTTAGCTTTTCAAATGCAATTACACTAACATTCCAGTCCCCCAGTGTGGGATTGAGATGAAGCTACCACCTTCTTTGTGAGTAAAAGTTCCTTTGGGGTTTAGAGGAGTAGCCGGTGGCCTGGAGGCTGGAAGCCCTGCTGAGCTGCTCTTTCCGTTGGAAATCAACCAGGCATACAGTGGGGGGAGAGGGGCCTCCTCGCCCACCCAGAGCAGCAGAGAAATCCTGGGTACCAAGCCCTGGAGGAAAACTCACCCCAGGCCAGCCTAGGGTGGAGCAAGCAAAGCAAACCTCCCACCCCTGTTAGTTTCTGCAACTCCCAGCATTCCACCAGTGAAATTCAACTTCCATTCTGGAACATAATTCTAGGTAACACTTAGCAGGCAAGTTTCTGGGAGCCGGGAACTAAGTGCTTCATGTGTTATCTCCACAAGGTGGATGCTTTTGCCGTCCTGTTTTACAGAGGAGGAGACTTGCGTGCACAGAGTGGCAGAATAAAGTTCCCGTGAGCCCCAGGTACTAAGGGTTGGGCTTAAGGCCCACGTGTTGGCCACTGCCACACTGCCTCCCGTGAGCACCAAGATACAGGCTCTTCCTGCGGCAGGCGGGCACCCTAAGGGGATGCCCCAGCTCCTTCGTTCAGCATTGCCAGGCTCTTCAGCTGCAGAACGTTCACCCCACCCCTGCTGGACCAGAACGGCCTGAGCTTGACTGAACCTGGTGGGAGCCAGGCTGACACGGAACGTCGGGGCTCTCCTGGTTCTGGGGGCTGGTGGTGGTTGTAAGAAAAAGGTGGTCAGAAATGATTTTGGAGCACCTGGTTCAGTGTGGCCACCCCGAGTGTGTGTCAGGGCCTCCGGGCAGCTTGTGTTCACTGGTGTGCACCGTGACCCACGGTGGGAGCCTCAGGGTGTCTGTTTCCAGATGTGTTTATTCCTACAATGTCTTTTTACTGAACCGGCGTTTCTCACACCACACTTGGGGAAGCGCTGGCAGAGGGGGAGTCCTCTGGGAGTTAGGACGCCTGGGAGACATGATAAGTGTAACCATAAAAGTACATTCCTTCCGTAACTTCCATATGCCTGTCTGACTCCCAAGTGTTTGACTGGAAGCAGAGTCAGACACGATGGAAATATATCTTTTTCGGAATGAGGCAGCAAAGAAACACAAAGCCAAAACTCTCCGGCTGTGTCTCCCAGCCCTGCTGAGTGTTCGCAGCCCTCAGTGCTCTCCATATAAGCTTGCTTTCGACTCCCAAGGGCTTGCCCGAGTTACCCCAAAACTCTTTCCTTTCCCCAGGGGAAAAGTATGAGTTGCACGCAGCGACCGACACCACACCCAGCGTGGTGGTCCACGTGTGCGAGAGCGACGAAGAGAAGGAGGAAGAGGAGGAGGTGGAGAGGATGAAGAGACCCAAGCCAAAAATCATCCAGACCAGGAGGCCGGAGTACACGCCAATCCACCTGAGCTGAGCCGGCGCACGGACGAGGGAGCATTCCAAATCGTACTCACGGGGAGGAATCTTTTACTGTGGAAGTGGCCGGTCACGACTTTGGAGGTGGCAGCTGTGATTGTGTGGCAGAAATTCCAGTTCATGTTGCTCAGAAGAGAATCAAGGCTTTGTTTCCTTGTTCTGATGCTGCACATCAGTCAATGTTCATGGCCCCCGAGAATGTCTTGGGCCAATCACTGAGTTTGTGGTGATCGCACAAGGACATTTGGGACCGTCTTGAGAAAACCGTTAACAGTAGTGTTTTGTACTTGTTCTTTTCTGGTAGGTTCTGTTTTTGCCAAGGGCAGGTTGATCAGTGGGTCCGGGGAGACCTTTCCATTTCTGACCAGCCTTCAGGGTTGACTCTCTACTGATGGGAAGAGGCACCACACAAAGCCACCTAGTGCAGAAAGGTTGTGGAAACGACAACAATGCAATGTGGAAATTGTAGTGTTTCATTTCTTCCCTCATGTTCTAATGTTTGTGCATGTATGTTACTGATTTTGGAGACTAACCTTTGTTCGTATATAAAGTTACACCCCTGTTGTTTTACATCTTTTGGGAAGCTAGGAAAGCATTTGGAAAACGTATCACCTTTCCATCCAGATTGTCAACTCTCTTTGCAACAGCACTCACACGTGGAATTCCACCTGAAACACATCCATTCAGCACCCTATCCAGTGCAACATGTAACTTGTGCTTTTGCAAAAAAAAAAAAAAAAAAAGTTGATCTGAAGTTCCTACGTAGAGTTTAGCTTATGCAATTCAGAGAATAGCAGTTTCACTGCCAACTTTTAGTGAGTGAGAAATTTTAGTTTAGGTGTTTGGGGTTGGACATTGGGTTTCCGTTACTTCTTTCCTGTGGTGGTTTATATACATGAATCATAGCCAAAAAACCTTTTGGGGAACTGTTGGTTGAGATAGTTGATTTTTTTACCCCACTAAGACATCAAGATAAACTTGTAAATAAAGCTGATAACATATATTCATACCTGTTATACACTTGGGTGAAAAACATGGCGGTGGAAGAATAGTGTAAGATGTGTTAACCTACCTGTGAATCATATGTTGTAGAACACGCTGTTCACATGTTTAACAGGACTTGAAGTCAAAGCATGTAAAGTGGATAGTAGCTCTGTGGTGATATGAGAGGGATGCAGTGCCTTTCCCCATTAATTCCTGATGGAATTGTTACCCTAGGTTAACATTTGTAATTTTTTTCTAGTCGTAATGTGTATGTCTTCTGGTAAATAGGTATTATATTTTGGCCTTACAATACCATAACAAAGTTTGTCATTTTGAAATACCTAACGCCAAGTAACAATGCATGCTTTGGAAATTTGAAAGATGGTTTTCTTTGAGAAGCAAATATGTTTGCATTAAATTCTTTGATTGTTCATATCAAGAAATGGATTGAATGTTCTCAAAACCCTGTTTACAGTGCTTGGTAAGAGGGAGCCGGTAAGGGAGAGACCATTGCATAGCTGTTCAAGTGTTTCTAGTTAAGTGCTTTTAAACTGGAGAGGCTAACCTCAAAATATTTTTTTTAACTGCATTCTATAATAAATCAGCACAATATGCTCTTTACGGAAAAGTTATTTGCTCATCATTTTACTCCTGGGGTTAATCTGTGACCCTTTTGAATTCTTCAGGCTCAGGAAGTCACGTTCCTTTGTCAGTTTGAGCTTAGAAACTTCTAATTCTGTGCTGTGGTTCACAGAAGGAAGGTGCACTGCACTAACAATATATCACTTAGAAAAGGGGAAAATGGATAAAACCAAAACCAGAAGTTCGAGTATTTCCTTTGTACAGGTAGATGATACTATGATGAAAGCCCCATTCACCAGCACCTCCACTAAACAACAGTGTTTTCGATAATTTGAGAAGTTTTCCTTTCTGTTAGAAAAGATGTCCATGGAAGGTACTAAGTTATAAAGTCCAGTTATGTTCAGAAGATTCTGAGCCTTCTGTTTGAATCTCTGGCAGCCTTTTCCCTGGAACTCTTAAATGGTGGTGACCTTCCTGGACCAGCCCACAGAGGCCTAAATAACCCAGCAGTTATTTGCTGAAATCTAGCAAATGACATTCATCTTGCTCACGATTAACATTAGGCATTTCTCCATGAAAATTCATGTACTACTTTTTTTTTCCCATTTATGAGAAGTATCATCCAGTCATTTCCCAAGAGCATTTATATATTTTAAAGCCATAAGTGTTCGAGGTTTAAGCCTGATGGAAAATCCACACTTCACTCAAGCCGCTCAATTCTGATTACTGAGCAGATTCACACATTGAGCACCTAGGGATACGAGGGAAATATTTCCAAGTAGATTTGGGAGGTGAGGCTGTCATTTATCTACATTTCAAATAACCAGGAGTACTGGACTGAGATGTGTGCTGGCCCAGGATCCTAGTCCATAAATAACCCTGGATGCTGTCAGTTAGTTCAGATTACCAGCAGGTTCTCTTACATAACTGGGGGGGAAGTCAGGGGTCTCACTGCTGGTGAAGCCAACAAACCTTAGAGTCAAAAATACAAGTTGATGGACATCCTCACTCAGGACAGAAGATCTCTTCTGAGTAGCTCTGTGGCAGCCTCAGCTGAAATTCTGAAACCAATAGTGCATGAAGTTATTGGTTCCCAGGCCGATGGATTTGAAAGGCACTAAATCATGAACGTGCCCAGGACCAACACATTGCTTTGTCTGAGAGGGGCTCAGTGAAATGCAAAACAACAAACACAAAACCGGTGGAATCATGAAGAACACACTCTCTGCCATCGATTGAAAGTATTTCTTAAATCAATTTTGATGGAATATATTACTGATCTGATGGTAAGTAGCTTGGGGCCAACCAAGCAAAGAAAATCAGCCCCTCAATGAACGCTGAGTCAAAGTGAAAAGACGTCCATGAGCAGAGCAATTCAGGCAGCTGTTTAACGCGGGTTAGAAACATTGATTTAAAGTCAGCAAGCATTTAGGATTTTACATTTCTAGAATATTGTGTGAATGAGAGCCCACAGGAGGTTTGGGTTTTCAGAGAGCTTTAATTTTAGGTGAAAGTACAGAACTCACTACAAAGTCGATAGATTTTCTCAAATATCAAATTGCAGAAGATTAAATGCCCTGTATGGGCATGTTACAACCCAGAGTGAATGGGCAGCTGGAGAATGTCAGACATTACAGCGCGTGCGGAACGCTACGGAATGTTTGCCTCAGTGGAATAAATAGGTGCATATCCAGTAGCGTTCATCAAAAGGTCAACAATTCAGATGGAAACTGCATAAATAATTTACCTTAAAATTATCTGGGAAGAAGGTAGACTATGAATGACAAATATTCCTTCCTCCCTGCTTCTCTGAAGTAGGACATGGAGGGGATCTTTTTTAAGTACACTGCCCCCTTGGCCATCTTTAATCCACATCTGAAATGCTCACTCTGCGACTCAGCAAAAGTTACACGGCAATCAGGTACATACATCGTCTTCTCACATACCTCATTTTTTTCAGCAGGGCTTCCCTGCTGTTCGTGAAAGGTCGTTTCAATCATGGCTACGTTTATGAAAGACAGAAGGAAATCATTGGCAAGTAAGTGATTGGGATGTGCTGCCTGCCTTCGGCAGTCCTCCCCTTTCAGGGTTCTGATGAGGGCTTAGCCAGGCTGCACAGCAGCTGGGTGCCCTGTGGATGCGATGGCCGCGGCTCAGGTCCCTCTTTCAAGCCAGGCCCCGCCCAGCTGACACCTGTACTCTGGCCAGGTGGAACTTTCAGTGTTTCTGAAAGTCACCCTCTCTCTTCCCTATGTGCCATTTCAAATGTTCCCTCCACCTAGAAAATCATCTCGCTGCCCCATCCCGGCCTCCCCCACAACAATGTGCACCCCATGAGAGCCGGCCCACGTCTGTGCCCAGCCCACGGCACTCAATGAGCACGGCTGCGATAATGACCTGGCTCTTTATTTGTTCTTCAGGTCTCCCTCAGTAACATCTCTTCCCCAGCTACTCCTGTTGGCCCCATTCTTCCCTACTGTAATATATATTGTCTTTCTAGCATAATTGTTACATTATTTGTCTTTCCTATCAAAACATAAGTTGTGTGGAAGTGGGATTCCTGGTAACCGGTGGCTCGTAGTGGCCATCCAAATGATTGCATGGGTGGGTGGATGAGCGGGTGGGATTCTGGAGGCAGAGGAGTGAGCAGACACCGAGAAAGAAGAGAAAAATAACGAGGCATGTTCCCTCTCCCTAGTCAGTAGAGCCAGGCAGCAGCTCGGTGCTTTCATCCAACAAATTGTCAGGCTGGTGGCGCAACAGGAATGAAAGAGAGAAAGAAAGAGACATGGTTAGGTTGGGGTAGGGTAATCGATAAGAAAAGAACAAAAACCCTTTGTTTTAAAAACTTTTTTCTCAATATGGGGTGACTGGCTAGAGGGTGTGCCTGGGAAGGGTCAGGAAAGAACGTTTCAGGGTGATGGAGACGTCCCGTGTCCGACTGAGCAGCACAGGACCAGTCGCAGTGAGGACGCAGCGGTAGTAGCACAGGTGTAGACATTTGTCAAAAGCCCATCAAACTATGTACCTACAGTGGGTGCATTGTGTCTTATGTGAAGCATGCCTCAGTACAGCTGATTTGATTTAAAAATCAGGATAAAGACAAAAACATTAAATCTTGGCCAACGGGAAAAATTGGGGGGAAGATCTTAATTATCATCATATCCTTTAAAAAACATTATTCAAGCATATAACGCCTTGATAACATTCCTAAAACAGTATTATACAGCAAAGCAAAGCAGCATCTCAAATTAGAGTGTGAACATTTTAATTAATATTTTCTGAAAGACATTGATATATGTCTGTGACAATTCGTTGAATTTAAAAATCGACTTGTATCATTTTTACTTCCTTAAAGTTTAATATACGGCTAACTTCTTGTATGTTCAGAACCGATACGTTACTGCTTCAAAAACAATACACAGATGTACTGTCGTCGCTCCACATCCAAGTGTTCTGAGTCTGTGGATTCGACCAACCACAGATTGAAAATATTATATTCGAAAATAAATAAGTAAAATAAAAAATAATACGACAATAAAAAATAACACAAATTTTAAAAACAAGACAGTATAACAAGCACTTTCATAGCGTTTACATTGTATTAGGTATTGCAAGTATTCCAGAAATGATTTAAGTCATCACCTACGGTTGGACGATATACGTAGGTTACGTGCAAGTACTGTGCCATTTTCTATAAGGGACCTGAGCGTATGTGGATTTTGGTCTCCTCCAGGGGTCCTGGAGCCAATCCCTGCGGATACCAAGGAACGACTGTACATAAAATACTGAAAGAAGCATGGATGGTGATTTGTAGGCCTTTGCTTTGGGCCCTGAGTACTAGAAACTACTGAATTTCTTCTCAGGAAGGAAGTTACAGCATAGACCAACATTGCAGGCACCTGGAGCATGAGAAAGGCCCTGTGCCCAGCCTGGCCATGCCACATGGACTCAGCAGTGGTAAGGGCACTTACCCCATGGGTAAGCCGTGCGGCAAGGGCACCTTGAGGGGCATGCTTTGCTCTAAGCTCAGCCCAAGCGTGTTTGAAGTCCTCTCGCAACTTCTTCCAGCTGCAGAAGTTCATGGAGGGGGGGAGTGGGTGTAGAAGGGGGGACAGTGATGCAGGGTAGGGGTAGCGCTGACCCAGCAGGTCAGACCTCAAACTGCTGCTGTGCAGGGTGTCAGGGCCTCACCTGCAGGCGCCTGTGAGCTGACTGTCACGCAAGAGGGGCTGGGACACCACTGTCTTGTTGTTTCATGCTCCTGTAACAGAATACTCCACACTGGGTAATTTATAATGAATCAAGTGTTTTTGGCTTGTGGCTCTGGAGACTGGGAAGTCCAAGAACGAGGGGCCACGTCTGGTAAGGGCCCTTCTGACTGCATCATAACACGGTGGAAGCATCACATGGGGGGTGGGGGAGAGAGAGAGGAGAACTCACAGCCTCAGCCCTTTATAATCTGCATTGATTCCTCATGGGGGTGGAGCCCTCCTGACCTTAGCACCTCAAAGAGTTAGAACCCACCTCTCAACACTGTTGCATTGGGGGTTAACTTTCTAACACGTGCTTTTGGGGGACACATTCAAACCATAGCAATCACCAAGCAGACAAGCCCCTCAGCTTGTCCTGAAGGGCGTAGGACAGTGTGGCCTGGAGCCCACCCCAGGGAGCTGTGCTCAGGAGGAAGAGACGAGACGCATAATCAGGAAAAGTTCAGACAAGTTTCTAAGACCACCTGAAGGGCAGAACCTGCGATGGTGTGAGCCCCACAGGTGCGGGAGGAGGCCTGCGGGAAGGAGAAAGGGGGGAGAGAAAGGGGCTGCCCCTGACCATGATGCCCACTCTCCAGGCCTCTGCCACCCACCTAGGCAGGGCCTGACTGCCCTGCGGAGACCCAGGGCAGGAGGGAGAGAGGAGACCTGGCCACAGCAGGGCCTGCCTCCTCCCAGTGCCAGGGTCCTGACAGCCGGGAGAGGGCTGGAGATCAAGGAAGGTGAGCAGCACTGCCAGTGGCCGCCCACCAGCCAAGGGCAGCAG